TAGGTTCAGGATGGTTGGGGGGGGGGGGGGTTGAGCCTATCATGGGCTCCAGATGCCATTCTTGGCGTCAGACATCACCAAAACCCAAAAGCTCAAAAAAACTCAATAATCTCAAGGGGGTAAGGGGGGTGGTCTTTGCCCCACTCAACGGGTAATTTTCAGGAACCTGCTTTGGATGGCTGCTTCACAGTTTGGCTACCTGTTCGAACGGTTGAGGCGGAGGAGGCGCAATGTGAAGGTGGCTCACGGATGCACTTTCTTCCAGTAAAGCCTCTGCCTGACTGCATGGTACAGCGTTGCGAGCGTAGTTACTTGTGCAGCCCATGTGCCGCAGCCGAGGATTATGCAGGGCTTGGGTCAAGGTTTGCTCGCTGCGTAGTTAGGGAGTGACTCTTGGACCATTCAGGGTGGTTTAAAGATGTAGCACTGCTGTAGCACGTGTTTCATCATGCCTGCCGCGTCGCTTTCCATGTCGGGGCCCTCGCAGCGTTTGGTTCGGAGTGGCGGATTGCATCCATGACTGACTGGCGAAGAACACCTGATGTTCGCAAGCAAGTTGGCTTAGAGAAGATCCCTGGGATGGACTCGTCCAATGAAACGGCTTGTCAAGTCTGGGGTTGGTTGGCCTTGCAAGCGCTAAATCGTTGGGGACGCGAGGTCGCGGCTGCGCAGGAGTCCCACTATTTCTTTCTTGATCCATCGGGTAGCCCGACCTTGGGAGCACATTACGGCTTTTTGAAGTAGAGTGTCGAATGAAATAAGCGTTGACCGGATTTGATCTGACTTCAGTTACCCGCAAGCTTGTTGACACTTGGCCAATTGGCCGGCCTCATGAGTGTCGTGCGGCTGGACGAGGACTGGCTGCTTAGACAGCCCATTCGCCGTGGGTTTTTCGGCGCGGCGGGATGTTGGGAGTTTCGGGGAAGGGGGGGCTGGTTGCGGCTTGGGTTTCTCGTATGTCCGGCTGTATGTCCACCTTGGGAACGCAGTTGGGAGAAGCTGTTCCCGGAGTTTCTTGTTATGCATACGGCAAGCACGCCCTAGTCGTATTCGACGCGCTGTGCTTAAGCCGGCCGTGGCTCTCCATAAGTCGTTTCCCATGTGAGTCACGATCCTAAACCTGGGTAAATGGAGGAGCCGTAAATGGGTGCGGCCGCCTTGTGAATTCCTTACATGGTTCTGGGTTCACCATGTTTGTACCAGGTTTTGATTATGACTCATGTGAGTTCTTACTCGCTTGGCTTGTGCCTTAAGCGCATCGTCGTGCCAGACGGAAGCCTCAGAGGTGGCCCAGAGGAAAGGGGGGTTCATTTTGGTGTGGTTGGGGGGGTGGGGGATGGAATTTTCGCAGGAGGATTTGGATGAGGAGGACCTGGCCATACTGCGCGAGGCACAGCATGGCACGGCCGTAACATGCGCAGATGCATTGAATCCCCCAATGTGGGGCTCCCCTCGTTTTCTTTGCCACTCCAAACTCTCAAAGGAGAGAGAGAGCAGCTGCATGTGGAGGTCTCCAAAAGGAGAGAGAGAGCAGAAAGCATCCCGGAGGTCGCCTCCAAGGGTTACTACCACAACCGCCCCAAGAGCGGCTCCGGCGGCAGCTTCTGCCCCCAGAAGTTGGAGACTGCTGCCGCGGCGGCGGAAGTCGTTGCCGAGGGCGTCGTCGCGGGCGGGCGGAAGGCCTTCGATGCCTTCCAGGCGAAATGGGACCGCTTCGACGCTTGAAGCGGTGGCGAGCGAGCGGGGGTGGGTGGGTCGGGGTGGGCATGGTGGTGGGGGTGTTGGTGAAGTGGGGGGCCCTGAAATTTGGGCAGTGGATGGGGCACCTACTCACCTGCAGAATAAACACATGGATTCAAAAGAAGCCCCATGGTGGCTTGGGTTCGTTCCAAACTCCGCGTAATTTCCTCTCGCGCCGTTTGGGCCATCACATCCTAACAACAATGAATCATAGAGGAAAAGAACAGGATGGGATGGGAGAAGGGGAGAGAGAAATAGAAACTGGCGATTCCATGGCAGGGTGAAACGCCATGGAAGAAGCGGCTTCAGCGCTCCTCCGGACGCTAAGGACGACGACGCCTTCGTGGAGGCTGTGGCCGAGGCTGCACCCCCGGCGCCGAGCGAGCGCCTGGCGAGCGCTCCGCGCCCGGCGGCGCCGCCGCGCCCGGCCGCGGAGTTTAAGGCGCCGGAGACGGACGTGGGTTGGTCACGTTGGCCGCACGGCGGGCGGGCGCCGGCGGGCACTGAGAGGTTTCGCATTTGTTTTTTTTTGGGGGGTTGGAACTTGCAAAATGGGGCCCGTCTAGGAGCCTACGGATGACACGGCAGGGGAGGGGGAGCGAGAGAATGCGGCTAATTGGCCATCTCGGGCCTTTCAACTCGGGCTTTGGCTGTGCGAGCAGGATGGGAACTTTGGAGCCAAACTAAGTAGCTGCTTGGGGATTTGTCGATCCAGTAGCTATGTTGGGAACTTGTTGGCACGTGGCTTTTGGCGTGGAGGGCTGAAGGCTAGCTTGGCAGCTGCACACACGACCTTTTTCCCCCCAGGTCCTCCAAGAATGTCCATGTTGCCACGACACGGGCGAGGGCCGCATCGGCAAAAACCCTTATGGCTCCATCCCACAGGTCCTACCTGGCCCTGGCCTCAACAGCAGCTGTCTCAAATCCGGGCCCTCGGGTTCTTCCCCCTGGTTGATTAATAGGGGGTCGTCCCCTTTTAGTGGGGATTCATCACCGTTGGGGGGGACACCCGTCCCTAATAATGGGACGGGTTTATTTTTTTCCTGGGTCAACATTAATATTTTTTGTGGCGGGCCCAAGCGAGTCTTGTGGCCCCGCGCTTTCCAGGTCTTGGTGCTGGGCGCCAAGGGGGTGGGCAAGAGCGCCCTGCTGCTGCGGCACCTCACGGGGGAGTTCCTGCAGCGCGCCTTCTGGGCGGAGGCGGGGCGGGGGTCGCCTGGGAAGCCTGGGGCCGCCTGGGGCCGTCTGCCGTCAGCCGCTGGGTCCGACGCCTGGGGCCTGGGGCAGCTTGTTGCTTGAGGAACTTGTGCCAGGCCGCCGGGGTGCAAGGGTTTTTGCTCGGAAACAAACTCGTGGGGATCGTCAATTCTCTCAGGGGAAGACGAGCGTTCGATGATTTGGGGGGGGGGTCCCTTAGGTCGTGGGTGTTTGTCCAAGCGCTCGGGCATGGCCTGAGGTGGTGCCTTTGAAATTCAGCACCACCTGCGGCACACTGGTCTTCAACATGTGGGAGCTTGTGCCTCGGCCCGCGCGACCTCACAGCCAGCTCTCTTCCAGAAAGTTCAATTCTGCAGTGCCCGCATTTTAAGGGCCCAAGCAAGAGGCATTGGGGAACCTCCCAATTTTCCGTGCGCGTGTTTCCCTGGAAGGACTTAGAACGTTTGCTTTCCTCTGGGTTCCCCTTGGATCCAGTTACTTGGGTCCCCCTTCCCAAAGACTAAAACGGGCACGGAGCGGGGTGAGATGCCCTGCCCTCGTCGGCGTGTTGTGCGAAGGACGGCGCGGAGCGGGGCTTCAGCCAGGGCCAGGCGGCGGTGCTGGTCTTCGACGTGAACAGCCGCAGTAGCTGGCGCCAGGCGCACCGAAAAAGGCGAACTTGACTCGAGCCCCAAAGGCGCAAAAGGGGGCGAATCCACCTTGGGCCACTTTTGGTTTGCTAGCATTTGGAGGGCCATTCTTGGGTCCACCGGTTTGATATCTTTTGGTTTGCTACGTTTGGACCTTTTGGTTTTAAGCTTTGGACCTTGGTCCCTTGCAGGTTCCAAAAGGCGGGAGCCTTGGATTTCCACTCCTGGAAGGGGCAAGCCCAGCGCCTGTGCCAAACTGGCAAGGTGCACCTTCCTTTCGGGAAATTTCCGAATCCCAACGCAGTGGATCCAAAATCTTTGCCACAGAGGAACGAGGAAGACGCGCCATCATAGGTGTGTTTTTTGGTTGGTTTGCTTAAAAAGTAGAGGGCGATTCCTGGTTTAGCTGGTGGTTTAATCAATTACCAGGGCCATCTATTTTCCCAAAAAGGACACCTATGTGCACCGTTGAAGTTCCTTGGGATTCCCTTTTGGAGTTGCCTAAGGGGTGTGAACCTTGCCACGTCCACTGTTGGCCTTGAGAGGGCACTTTGCACCAATTGAATCGTAGACCATGCATTCCATCCCGTGTGGGCCTCGCGTGAACCACGCCGATGCTTAGGGGGCCACAAGCACTTCCAATGTTACTGTGATCTCACTCATTTTGAGCTTCAATGTTGTTCACTGACTTGGGTCCCCGCTGCAGGCCTTCTGGGCATTTGGTGCCAGATCTTTCAGAAACTTCCCGGCCAGGTGCCCGGCTACCTGCAGCAGCTGCGGCAGAACTGCGGGCCGGTGCCAACCGTGCTGCTCGCCTGGGTGGCAGATGGTGGCAGGAGGGCGGGGTAGGGCCCTGGTAGAATAAGGCACGCGCAAGGATACGAGGCTTTGTGTTGTGAAAGGCTTCGCCTTATATGTATGCATGTTGTATGTGATGTAATTTAATGCAATGTAATTTGTAATGCAGTTTGCAATGTAATGTGTAATGTAATGTAATGTAATGTAAAAGATACCTCAGCGTAATGTACCGTATGTATGCAATGCAATGCATTGCAATGTAATGCATGATGTAGGTATGTATCCATGAATGAATGCATGCATGTATATGCATGTATGTATGCAGGTTTGTGTGTGAAGTAATGCGTCCATGTATGTACGTAAGGTACCGAATGTACGTGTATGTATGTAATGCAATGCAATGCTTACCTCTTAAAAACACAACTTTTCAACTTTTTTGGGTAACATGGGCTATATGTCTGTAAAAGATTAACTTTCTCAGGGCTTGGAGTCTTAAGGGGTAAGAATGTAATGCGAAGAAATGTAATGTAATGTAATGTAATGTAATGTAATGTAATGTAATGTAATGTAGTGTATATATGCATGTATTGTGTAATGTATGTATGTATGTATGTA